GGGGACACTGTGTGCTTAGGACTTCACTTTCAATCTTCCCTTCTCCCTTCTACAAAGAGAAGGGAGCTGAATTGAGAACTAATTAGCATTAAAAATGAGATAAGACAATAACGAGAACTACATTAGCTGCTGTTTCGAACACCCTTTTCACTCTGTTTTCGAACGCTGGATTAAAGATTACTTTAACGAAATCACGCTCGTGTTGGTTTAGATATGCCGTTGTATACAGACTACCGTATACGCGTTAGCATTTTATAATTATATTTCAGAAATTTCAGTTAGTGCGTGGTAATTAACTTGATATAATGGAGTAACTTGAATGCATTTGTTTGATAGGCAATTACAATTTGGAAATATTTATTAATAATAGTGACTAGTACTTTGGAACATATAATGTTGTAATAAAAATGGGTGTCGATAGGTAATTCATTATTTGTTACAAATTATTGTATTTAATGTTCCAACTTGGAAACATAAATTATGATTTTCTCTATGAAAATATAACTAATCACATGCGTAACAAATTTCTAAATGTTATACTTATAGAACAGTTTTCGATCCAGTATCCACAAATCCATATTTCCCAACGCAAAAAGCTGTGAATATGATTTCGTATTTGATATTTACAGCCATACAGACATGCTGCGTAGATAAATAAATTTAAATAAATATTGATGATAAAAAGTTGTAGCGTCGTAATATCTACAAAATTTTAAAGTTATTGGTCATCGAACAGCCTGGAAAGCTTTATTCAGTGATAAGTCTAGCTTCCGCAACAAAGGAAAACCATTCATTCTTTGAGAATTTGATAAAGTTCGGCATTCGATCTGTTTTCGCAAACTGTAGCCAAGGTTCGCACTCGCTGATTGACGTTATTTGCATTCTACCGAGAAAAACAAGCATAGCTCTTCGCTTCATCGATTTTCTGGAACTCTGACTTTCTTTAGAATTAGACTATAACTCGTTTTTTGCTTTCGTACGGGTCAGAAATAATCGAAATTGTGTTATAGATTATTTGGTACTATCAAGCAATGGAATATTGAATTTTGCATTATTAAACTTTTTAATAACTTTATATAATATAAACGTGAGATAAAATAAATATAAATATTATTGTTTAAAATGGACGAATAATTTAAACTCTGATTGTCTGAAATTACTTTTCAAACAAACAAGGCAATTTTGAAATAGAAACGATTAATAAAAAAGTTCAAAATAACGCTTGAAAGTTGACACTCTAGACTAAAATATCCTTAAACGTTTGCGATGACTCTGATCATTATTTATTATCAAGCACGAATGAACAGCAATACAACAAAATGTATTAAAAAATGTAGACCATCTCAGAATTGAGCAGAGCAAGAGAAATTTTGTTATCCTGTTTGCGCATTCCTGTTTCACACACCAACAGTGAACTAATTCCCATTTCCCACTCGATTAATTGGAGTTTAGACACTTCCCACAGCGCGTGTATCGACCGTTTCTAGAGTAGTTGAAGTGTGCTCTGTTTAAAACCGATCTACTAGGCGCATCTCCGTTGGATTCTTGCACAATTGTTCACTGATTGGCTTTAGTCCGGCAAAACCACAAGTAATCGAACGATTTCACGGTAGAAATGCAATTTGTTAACTGAGCGAGAAGTAACGCGAAGTAATGTGTTCGATGGCTGTGGTGCGACTGATTCTAATATCTGTGTTAGTGGATTAGAGAATACTAGAACGCGTGAGCGTGAATGGGTAATGGTCTTCCTCTCTAAATCGTCGTTTTAATGCGACACCTTCAGGTTTACAGTAACCGACTAAATTAATCAAATTTTCCTTTATTATATTTCTTATTTCATTAAATCTTTGAAATTTGAGATCTTTGATTCTTGATATATAATTTGGTTTGTTACATTAATGAAAAATATACAAAGCATGTCGAAATCAATGTGTAGCAGAAAATATATAAACGATAAGTGGAAGGCTAAGTTTAACCAAACTCATGACCTAATTTTTATTTTAAAATGTGATTCGTTCATTGAACTTCGGACAATTGACTTCACCGTATAAGAAATGCACAAAATTTGTATTTAACAAAGGAATATCATGCAATAGTTGTATATTTACGTAAACAATGATTGAAGAAATAATTAACCACTGTATACACATAATTTTTTTAATAAAGCTTTGAACTCATAAAATTTAAAAATTCAGAAAGCCAAGGTAGAAATAATAATAATTAAATTTTATTGCAACAAGTTTTTATATATAAAAAATTGCAAGAGCAAAGCAAAATGAACATTATTATTATAGTAACCTTGATGCACACCTTAAGAGAATAACTTAATCGATGATTAACTATGATAATTAAATCGCATCTTAACGTAATAATGAGCAGAACTTTGTAATGGTGATTGAAGATCTACTTGGAAAAGAAAACTTCTGTTGACGCTAAATCTTGAAAGTTTACGGAAACGAAGACAACCTAATATTATGAAGATTCGATTTCGGATCTCGTGTCGGATGCAAATTGTTGACAGAGGTAATGAGAATCTAATCACTTGTGCCTTAGGATTCTGACGAATGCTCAATAATCATAAAAACGTATTAAATATGATGTTAACCTTTCAATCTTTCATTGTTTTTCAACTGCAATGGACTGATAGATGATATTGCTTGTGGGTTGTTAATTTTATTGACGCCTTTGCTGATAAATTTATGAAAAACTAAAATACAAAAAAAATATACAAATATATATTATTTAATAAATATGCACAACCATTTAGGCCTGTATCGGTTTTATGTATTTGTCATTATTTTCGCATTTTATTAATACAAACGTACATTATACTTCTTCCCCAAGAAATTTCAAGCATCGTAACTGCAATATTATATATTCTAATGAAAACAAGCTTTTAAAAATGGTTATACCCAAAGCTTAACACATATATCATTCCAATTTACATAAACCGGGCTAAAGAAAAAAGTGATTTGCGCGCAACGCGAGAGATGAAATTATTGGTTTCTCACTTTACCTTAGATATCATACACCTAGGTACGGAGGAGAAACGGATAAAATTTGAACCCAAAAGTTTGTAACTCTGTTGCGCTGTTTCTGCAAATATAAGAAACTTTGTTTAAACATTAATTCACGTTTCACAGTTCGCAGTGGAAGTTAACGTTGGAGCTGTAGTTCCAAATCCTGGTTAAATAATCGCACTGAAAAAGATATTAGCTTTAATTGATAGTAATAAATTGCGAGAAGAACATTCACTAATCCTCCAAGAGTTTCCAAGTTACGTTTATAAATTAACCTTACGGATTCGTTTGTATCGTGACCTTCTTTACTCGGAAAAGTGGTGAGTTCTCCCAAAGCAATTTCAATTTATTCAGATGCTGAATCATAATGGGAATAAATTATGGTCCGCAGAGTACCGTGAAGAATTTATAGTGAAACGCGTAATGTGTGATGCATAAATTATACATTAAAAGAAAGGGAATGTACGAGGTTGTGGATTGAGAATGATTTACGGAAAAGTACAATTGTGGATGTAATAAATAAATAAATTACGAATAATTGTCAGGCCTAAACAGGAAACTTATATTATCAATGTTTCGACTCATCTTTTTTGAGTCATCCTCGACAGAAATTAAGTAAAAAATTTAAATTAAAAACTTTGTAAAGAGTTGATGGGTCAAGTACAATAATTTAGAAATGCGACAGAATATAGAAAAAAAATTATTGGTGAAAATAATAGTGAAAATAATAGAAATAATTTAAGAAATTAACTGTCCACATTAAAAAGTATATACAAAATAATAAAAATATATATGCAATATAATTCAAACACGTAGGAAAATCATCCTTGAAAAGTTAAGAGAATAAAATCTTTTTGTACATTTGCATCATACAAATTTCTATTAAAGAACAATAGAGTGAACAAGAAACAGCCGTTAACTAAATATAAAGATTGTTGGTATTGTCGAAATCTTTCTTATATAGGAGTAGCATAAATAATCTGCGGGTGCATAATTGAAAACGTCGACGTCGTCAAGCGAATTTCGCAACATCGCAAACAGTAGCTACTAAAAATTGCATTCCACCCATCCGATAATTTGAACGAAAGAAGCGTCGATAAAAATGATGCAAAAGTTTACTCGCTGTAATAACATTTTCCGTGATTATTCGTGCCAGGATAAAAAGAAATGATATCGATTAAACGAAACTTAATTATTCCGTATTTTATATTTTTCTCGATGGAGAGAGAGAAATTATATCAGATTTTACAACAGCAAAATAAATTAATCTGCTATGAATAAAAATATCAGAAAAATCAACAATTACGCGCAAACGTTACATTTGTAATCCTTTGTGAAAAATTATAAATTATTATTAGTAAATTTGAAATTATTATGAAACTGAAAGGATGATGACCATCCGCTGAATACGGGACAGGATCTAAATGGATAAAATTGAATTTTCTGTGCGAGCCTGGCTGCAACAAACAGTTTCAATAACTTTATGCAAATATTGTTGAAGGCAGTGTTGATAATGAAATCAGTGATTAATTCGTGCAATATGCGGGAACACTGACCCTTGGAAGTCCGGTAATCCAAACATCCCCAATATCCCTTCACTGTATACGTCACCGGAATCTAGAGGCTGTCTTGTCCCAAAGCAATTGGTAGCCTAAGCCTTTGATCGTGTTGTCGTAGGATAGTTTCCACAGGAAAACGGACTTTAAAGTATTTTCAAACCTTACATCCTCGGCGTTACACGTATTGATATTCAAATTTCTATCTAAAAGTATTTTAAAAAGTGCAATTCATTTGCTATCTCTCTTAACAAACACAAAAATACCGTAATACAAATTTATAACACTTTTGGGGGACAGAAATCAAACGACACAGCTACGAATAGAGTATCGACATTTAAATAAAGTTATATTTTATTTAAATGTCTTATATTTTAAACACTATGAAACGTATTCTATCATTGATATTTTATATACTCTTGTATTCACACTCTAAAGCACTTTCTCATTTTACATGAAACTAATTCTTTAACATTAGTCCTTACTTTATACACTATCTCTCAGATTAAACATCTATCTGTAAAAAGTAAATTTCGAATTTCAGCACTATTAATATAAAGCACAAAAACTATTTAAAGTATGTTGATATTTCAGATTAAAGCTGTTCTCTATTGTAAGAAGAATGAATGGTTGATTAATACTCATCGCGATACCTTTGTCTCTGACCTCCATTACGCCCTCGGTTATCCGTTAATAAGATTTTCCCAGCAAAAGGCAATCCATTTACAGCCTGGCCCTTGTAGCCACTAAAAATTTGTTGATTTACTGTCGGTTCTCCTTAATGTCTGATTTTTCCCTCTAGAGAATTGCGGGTACTGCAAACGTTACACAGAGTATTTGAAACTTTATTCGAAAAATAGAACACGAATAGAAATTCTGTACAACAATTATTTGCGAAATTTATCGAATTAGACTGATATCGAGGTAAGCTGTACCACGTCTAATTATTTTCATTGGACAAGTAATAAACAAGAAATTCTTTATTTTTTGTTACAAATCTTTTGTTGATTACAAAATACTTACAAATTAAATCTCATATTACCGAGATAACATTTTTATATTTATTTTTCACAAGCTTTTTGTATAAAGATGCTTATTCTTCGCATCATGTACATGAATAATAACGGTAGGATCCTAAGGAAGTGTTCTTTATACCTACACTATAATGGATCACCGTGTCCAGATAAGAATTTTGTCCACCTTTGACTCCAATATTTAGACATTCACGCAGCACGAGATTATTCGAAGACGCTGTCATTGGTAACAATGACATTGTACATTCAAAGAAGTCCCTCTTAGACTCGGATAACGCGCGTTATTTCCAGCAAAGAGGCGAGATCAAAGGGAGCGCGATGCACGTATTCGCTTTTCGATTCCTCGCTGCCACTGAAACGAAAGAAAGAAGTTGACGTGGGTTGAGATTCGTCGTGGCATGATCGATTATCGATGAGGGAATACGGCTTAATTGGGAAGGGACATTCTGTTCTGGGAAAAGTGATACTGTGTTTGCTTTATCGCGAATAAATGTACTTGGAGATTTATCGAGTTGATGTTTATACTAGAAGCATAAACTACGTAATCAATTTTTGATGCGTTCTTTACTAACTATAAATTAGTATACATCTAATTATGAGTAGTGTTAGAATCTTTTTAATGTAGTCATATTAAGATACGTATAATTACATAATTTATCAAATGAAATTTCACTGAAAAAGATTTAGAAAAGGAAAATGTGTACAAATAATTTGTTTTGAATACGGTTACTCCCACTACATCCTTAATTTAAGTTATGGACGACTTCAAAATGACTCCAAATCTGTTTAAGAAAGAAAAATATAAGATTATTTGATTAAAAATGATAATTAAAAATGTGTCATGGGAAAACGAAGCCCGCACAATTCTAACCTTCCTCACGTATCGTTTTGATTTATAAACCCTAAATCATTTTTCCGCAGTCCAGTCGGATTCAATTTATCACAATTTGTTGATTGACGTGTATTCGATTTCTTCTTATTTTCCTTTTATCGACATTGATTGAGAACGTGATCATCGAAAGAAATTGGATTAGGGGTGGCTACGTGTTTTTGACAGAATGGAAAATGCTATCTAAATAGAACACACGAAAATGTTATATATATATTTGCTTATCGATGATGCCATATTATTTCTAGACGTCTTCTACTGACATGTGATTTTGGTTTGCCGACGCGAAAATATTACTTTGGTTGAAAAATGGAAGGATATTTGTATTCTGAATACTGCCTTTCATTTTCTCAAAACTATTTGTTAGAATTTCGACAGAAGTATTTCGTTTAACTCGCGTCGATTAATATAATTTTATATTTAATATTTTTCACAATATCTCATAGGTGTGTTTCGTTTACTTTATATGAAGAATTATTATGTGAGGCTATGTTCACAGTCTTAGTACTCTCCGGAGTATTTACGGACCAGCTTACATAGTCCCAAGCCTTCTGGAGAATTAACAAGTTCCGAACATAATTTAACTCCAAGTTCGTGAGTAAAATGAATGCAAAATAACAAACGACCTTAGGTATCTTTCTCAAAATTAAATATCCCAAGATGTCTGAATGATTCCTAATATTATTTCTTTTTTAAGATAAAGGTAGAAATAATTAATTTAACGAAGTTTTGTATTTTTGTATACCTTTTCAAATTAACAGCTCAAGAACACAAAGCTTTTACGATCACAGAGTTTTTTCTTTACTCCCTTTTTGGGAGAGGACAATTATCGAAAGCCACATTGAAATATATGTAACACCAATCGATTCCGAATCATTGGATTAAAACTACATCGTTCTCGCCCCTAATTGAAACACTCATCGCGCCTAATTAGATTCAGTCATTCAAGTTCCACATTCAATTAGGTTTTACTAGAGCTTCGAACCCCCAAGCAACCCTCTCACTTCGATTGTAGCGGCCAAAGAAAAATTGTTTCCCTCGTCGCATTTAGCTTTCTCCTACTCTGTTATCTTTCCGCCTTAATTTCGCGTCATTGCATTTTTTCACATGCTTTCATTCCATCGTTTACTTGGGTCTCTCATGTTTCTTGTACAATTGATCTTATTAACCGCTCGACGAAGTCCGTTTGACCCAGTGCTCGCGGAAAATTAGACTTTTCTCCCTTTTCTGACACCCAACCATTGATCCGTCCATCCTTCTGTGTCCTTCCCACGGTCTTTTATTTCCTTGGTGTTCGCTTATCTCGAGCCATTCTCAACGACAACCGGCAATTTCTCTTGTCCTATCTTTCGACCTGTATCCTCCACTTTCGATCTCTGTTTACCTTCGCGAACAACGATTGTAGGTTGCGCGATTTGACTTTAGTCGCGAGCAGAGGCAGCCGAAATCGTGATCGGAGACGAAGTGTTTATAATTGACACCGAAATTAAAGCGTTAGATTGATTTTCACTGGTACCTAGCTGCAGAAGTGGTTCATGCAGAAAATGGACAATTATAATTTAGAAACACTGAGTATTTTGTAAAATTACATCGGAACAGTTTATTTTTATGAAGCACTGCTCATTAAATTTTTTCTAAAATTCTTATGTGTTCTTGTATATCTTTTTTCTATTATAAATTCTGGAGTAAACGTTTAAAAAGAGAAGCTTCTTCACGAATTGGAAAAAGAATAACTATAAGTCGTGCAATAATAAATGATTTTATATTTAAAGGTGAACAAAAATTTGTGAATGTCAGCTTGTGAATATTCTATTAATATTCTAGCAATTCAATATTAACCATTTATTATTGTACGACTTAGTTTTTCCTTTTTCAATTTCTAAAAATTCCTCGAAACACAACTGCGCTTTGTTTATTTTTGAGGAATTTTTTGTATTTTCATATACACCTGAGGGGAATCGTATGTTATTGGCTGCAATATCTACATATTGGTAGCAACTGAATTGCAAATATTTGCTCTTGTAATAAACAAAAACATATTTACTTGGACATTCTTCATTATAAAACATTTGAAGCGAAGTTTAAACTCTATCTGATTGTTTCGCAGAATATCAAATATTGCGATCGTACAAATGTAAATATAAATAATACAAACAACCATCCATACACGATTACCTTTTAAAAATCTTCGTCGTTCCTCAAAATATTTCGATAGCGTAAAAGCTTCCCTTTATCAGAAATAATTTTCCACGGAAAACGTTTTCTCTATTAAATATCCCAGTTTCCGATAGGAGTTTATAATAAATGACACCTCTCCATCTTTACCGCGTGCACACCCATATTTTCACCAAATGTGAACCAGGATTCAGAGTGCTTAATGGCCACTGTCTTTATTTAGGTCAATGTTTTTGCTGGGCAATTAACGCGTAATTAATTTTAATTCACAACTTGAACGAATGAAACTAATAGCCGACAGTATGCAACTGAATTGCTTTTCGCTCGAAATTCGGGAAACGTAGCCAGAAAATTAATATTTTCAAGTTTACTGTATAGTTAAAAATCACTTTATTGATTCGAATAATCTCTGAACGACGCGGCCAAGGATGATACTAGCTTTATCCAGAAGACTATGACGAATTTACCGTCGCATTCCTTTCTGTATTTTCTAGCAGAAACTTAAACGGGCGTTTCGCAAGAACCGCCCCTATAGTCGGAGACTCGAGACTTATGGTTTGCAGACACAGTGTTTTATAAGAGCTTCTCGCAAATTGAGGTTGCCCTACTCCACGACAACGCTAAATTCAGACGTTTCTCCGGAGAAGAAAATCATACGACGTTCGTAGCTATTTTCCCCCCTTGTTCTCGTGTTACTCGTTTGCGTAAAATATTTAAAAGCCACGAGGCAGGGGTATCTTCCCCTGTTTCATCGTGAACGTGTCGCGTGGAGCTTATCACAGCTTCTAGAACGTTTTCAGCGCAAGATTCGTACGGCCTATTTAATTAAAAGACATTTTTCTCGAACGAGATTGGAATTCTCCTCATTGGACAAAGCAAGTAAATTCTGAGATTGCTAAGGCCTAAGGAATTTTTCCTAACACGTTAACGTTAAAATTTAGGTTAATAACAACGTACAAATATACCTCATCTCCAAATAGTTACTTTTATCTATTCATTTTTATTTGTGTATATTAATTTTCGTTTCTCTTTTCTTCTTTAACATTTTGTTATATATTGTCTAGTAATATCGAGTAACAAAAGAACTCTGTTAGTCGTTATTTATTGCATAATTGATGTTTTCATGAAACTTTCATAAAATTAGGAATGCAAAGTCCAAAAATATATTTAGAAAACTTAAAAAAAAATGCTTCTGTTTATAAAGTGCACTGAGAAGTAGAAATTAATTTTTGTTTCGTAATATTATTTTTATACTGGTGCAGACGTTCCACGTTTTTTTAAAAAAAGGCAACTGTTTTGAAAATATTCCAAAGAAATATGAAACCTGTTTCGTGTCCCTGGACATTTGATGAGCGCAGAATTATTAAAATGGTTTCCTTCTGTTGTCGTAAAGACCAGTCCCTTTAGCGTCATCTCTTCTTTTCCGTTCCTTGCTGTGTTTTATATGTTACTTTTTCTGTTTGTTTGTAATTTGAACAATAAATACGTCGTTGTGCATAGTCGAACCGCCATAGATGTCGGAGTATTAATTAAATTCCAACGATGCTGTGGAACAGTTCTCGGATCTAGGGAGAAATAAAAGTGGAGCGAAGCAATATACCAGGAAGTTCCATATTTCAGGATGAGTTGCTTGCATATTTGATAATAAGGACGATTTTATTTTTATCGGAAGTGCTGAAGAATTCAGAAGGACACTCGCTTTTCCGTGTACACGATATTGACGATGGATGAGGCGCTTCGTAATTTAAAAGCTCTGACATGCCTTGGAATCATAACCAAAGTAATCCACGACTCTCCAATCGTTAAGTTTATTATCAGATTGTTCTCGACCTTGAAATTTTGGTTCTTTGTTCTCGTGCCTTTCGGACACTCAAATACTTTTTCTATAAACATCTTCAGCGAAACTGGATGTATGTGCTTCGGATTTATATTTTCGATGTGCCAATTTCATTAAGAAAATCGCCTGAAACGGGAATACATGTTGTTTATGGAACTCCCTGTCAAGAGTCGCTTCGTTTTCGGGCATAAGCAGTTCCCGAAACGATGATGGACACCAAGGACGATCGAGTTAATCAAGTAATTGGTATTTCGTAAAAGGGGGCCGATCAATACTTTCTAACCACTGCTGTACACCAGGGAATACGTTGGTACTATCGGCGGAAGTGTGTCAAATTCTTGATCGAATAATCGACCTTTTAATGAAATCATAAATCTCCGTTCGAATGAACATCATAAACAGCTCCACAATGATCAACCACCGATGATCTAAATTATGATAACGCTCGATTTAACGTGTTTCCGGTTAAAACTCATTAATCAAGCTTTCGTCCTGTAGTAATATCCATTTTGAATATTTCATTGATGACTTTAAATTAAATTTGTACGTTCCATGAATGGAATTATGGAAACCTAAACGGAGATTTAATGTGGAAAATGTTTGATTACTACTGATATATAATATTACATCTTATTAAGGGATGAGAAGACTATATATAATTACAACAGCTATAATCCATATTAAAAAAAATGATATGGTCTGACTATTGATATACAGAAATCAAGAGTTATTCTCACAAATATCGAGGTTCTTTCAATAATCAATGTACCCAATTCGATGTCTAGTCATTCACAGCGTAGCCTCATTACTAACTCCAACATAAACTTGCAATAAGCGAGGATTCATTTCATAGTTAACATTATAATAACCGAAGTTGCTGTAGCTGAGGTCGAAGTAGTTAAACATGTTGTAAGAAGTGGAGATCTATCCCATAATTAAGATTGCAATATTCGTACTTCCAGTAGTTCATGTTGCAAATATCAAGGTTCTTTTATTAATCAAATAACCAATTCAATAACTAGTGACCCTACTCAGAATACCATGCAATAAACGGGGAAACGAGGGGCATTTAAAATAAATACTGATACTGAATCGAGTTTGCAATAGATCATCTTACAATAACCAAGATTCTACCCTGATGGTGTCAAATCCATTATAGTTCTAAGTTTAGAAATAAAACAAACAAAAATATCGATGCTCCTATTTTATACACGATGGTGTACAAACAGTAGAGAGCGTGATGAAATTTTTCCGCTTGCGCGGCGGAACGTCTCCCAGAAGGACTAAACATCACAATAGGATGTTATCATTGAAGCCTCACTCGTACCCCTAGCGATTGCTCTCCCCTTTCTCTGTCGTGGCCTTCGTCGGATGCTGTAATTTTACGACGTACGTGGCTCGCATTCCCCGCGTCCGACGTTTGCCAACTAAATTTATCGTCAGATAGACCGACGGTAAAGGGGGAAAGATAGACTTAAATTGGAAATGTTACATAGGAGATTGTGCGATTCAACTCGCTTCTTGCGATGAACGCTTTCATGAAATCCAAATTTTATGCGCTCTGGATATAGTCTCGCGAAATTTACTCGTGCTCGTGTTATCTCCATAAAATCAATTTTTACATGAAATACAATCGTGAAACGCGAATGAATCATTCGGAGGTGGGTGTACAGTGATTCTCGTGGTCCTTCAGAGTCACCATTTTTTTATTTAAGGGATAATCTTCTTTTTTACCAGTTTCCAGGCAATTTTCATGATTTATTTGTAGTCATAGTTCTTGACATGAATTTTTATAATTTGTACATGTATGAACACGATTTTGTTGAATTTACAATTGTCTCGTTTAATTTGTCTCGAAGTTATGAATAATATCTCACGTTATGTCACGCAATTGATGTTTGATATGGGAAGAATTTATCATTGTTAATGAACGTGTTTCGTAGGTAGATTGAACGCCAAGTTTTGAATAATCTCCTTGAATATTCAATGCACCTCTGCGAAATTCGGTTCGTTAATCCTGAAGCTTGTCGCCATGATCATCCCTGTAATAGATAGAAGTGCAGTACGTAATCCTTATTATCAGCTATATTCAAGCTGTTACGTGCTCCGTCATGAAAATGTAATTTTATGTAACTAATCTGTGACAAACATTTGCATCAACTGTTTATTTTCAAAAAGTCAATGGTTTCTCGCGATTAGCGCAAAATATATTGAAAAATAAATTACTGGTGGTAACCACATATAGTTAATAATAATATAAAAATTAAAGTAATAGAATATTTATATCTTCATTTTTTAGGTTTATATTATTTTATAATCCTTATGTATTCGTTAGAATAACTACGTGTTGAAATTTGAGATCAGTAGTGTTAGATTTACAGGAAACTTTGAAGTTTGTAAATTTTTAGTAGAAGCGGGGAAACGTAGAAAGTATCCTTGGAAGACGTGATCCGAATCCTTTGTTATCTAAGTAAACCCCAACTTCCTTGCAACTCCCTAATCATAGAGCACAGAGACGAAACTGAGTTTAAATACAAATTTATCGCAATCCGAAACAAACTATTCTCACTCCGAACTCGTCTAAAATCATCGCTTGAAATTATCCTTTCAATTATACAGTCAAAACTTCTGCCGTGGTGTAGGTGGATCACGAAATTTTTGGACGATCATATCGCCAAAACTCCACAATTATCGATTTTATTTATTCGTATGAATTAATTAGCTTTACAGGAAATTAGACTGTTTCATAAGTAATTTTATTTATTTCGTATCAATAACAGCAAACTCAATTTGTTAAATGTATATATTTCTCTTTGTATGTTAATTTCGAATTTTTTTATAGAATTCTAAAGATGAATCTAAATCTTTACTGAATAATGAATCTTTTATTATTCAGTAAATTACACCGTAGACACGAAGTTTAGAATTAATTTATTGTGAAATGGTCCTGTCAGGAGTTTGAAACGTCGAATAAATATTATATTCAGGAAGGAAGAAGTTGCACAGTGAATTAAATTTGCTGCTACCATCAGAAAATAAAATTACTTATCGATTTCCTCTAAAGTCATTCTCAAGTTTATTTCACAGCCATTAACGTTTTTCCATTGTGTGCCATATGCTTTTGATGCCGTGACGTTGTAGTTAGCGCCGAGACAAGTTAAGCCATCAGTTCAGAGCACATTGGATATAATGACGTACGTCATTCTCTCGTTAATTTTAGATGAATTAAATAAACAACGAAAAAGAATTTCACCTTCAGAACATCTTGTCTATAAATTCCACATAATGCGGATCTATTCCATCCATTATAATTATTAATTATTCAAATCTTCTCAAAGGATCAGTCAGTGGTTAACTATACCATTTCTAGTTGAAATTAAATTTCAAAGTTTTTAACTCGATATATCCTTTAATCAAACAGACACACGTCTCTCTCGTAACTAAGTTATTTCCTTGAAATCAGAGATAGGCAAAATTTTATTTGAATAATCCGTGGTTCATCCAACTAATCAATTCAATATTTACTTGTTTACTTCATTTCAAAATTTTAATTTGTACTCTTGTTCAAATAGTAACTAACTGTAGTTAGTTCACTGAATATCACTGAAGTCCACAATATTCAAAATTATAAAATTCAGAATTGTCCAAGGTTAGTGTTGAAAGATTTGGTAATTAGTTTCGTAAGAATGCTGCATGCATTCATGAATATAGTAGAGTGTAAATATAGATAAATAATCAGTCTAGAATTTCTCACCAAATATCGAGGTTCCATACCTCTTCGTGATCTACTTGCCTCGCCCAGTGTGTCTGGTTTATTTTCAGCTCAATAATGCATGCTGTGACGGTTGACACTGCTGTCGCTTTTAAAAGTCGCTTCGTGGCTGAGTAACGTTTTCTCCCGTGCCCGTCTATACATACACGTTCTAGTTGTAAAATCTTCACCGTGCTGATCATGTGTCAAATGGAAGTGATAAGGAATTACATACGTATATGCTTTACATGGGTAGCTTCCTATATCTCGGACAATTTATCTCGCGCTGATGCGAAGCTGTCGGTGCTCCTAACACCAGAATTTGTTGCATTTCATTGTTGACAGCCTGAAGATTCTGTCATCGTGGCCTACTTGTAGAAATTTCCGCTCTCGTGTACTTTCGGAACGAAGCTCGCAATAGTTCTCACAAATGGTACGTGTCTGTTACGATACAATGAAGTACACGATCTTCAAGCTGGATAAAAAGTGTTATTGTGTCTGGGAATAAGGATAGGAAGCTTGGAAATCAACCGTTATGAGTATCAATTTGTATAATTCTGAATTTTCAAATTGCTGATATTGCAGACATTTGTAATATTTAAAATTGTTGAATTTAGAATTTATTACAATAGCATTGTAAGTTAAAAGTTTATCTTGTGATTAAGAATTATCCTCACCGGATCTAGAATGATCTATTGTATTTCTGTATTTATTTATTTCGATGCCTAATTCAAATTTAAACATGCTTTATATAAACATCTGATCTCTTCATTTATGATTTTCAAACATGATTAATGTTGGAGTATAGATATGATCTAAACTGGACTACTATTCTGTATTTTATAATAAATTGCAAATCCTACAAAATTTATGTTATACACTTTTCAGCATTACTTCATGTATAAGTAGAATATGTAGAAAACCGAACAATAGGAGCATATTTCAAGAGATGCCTGATCGATGAAACTATCGATAATACCGCTTCTTGAACTGTACAAGATATGGGTCAAGTATTATGCCATAAGTACGTAATATCACATAATATTATTCTTAAAAAAGTACTTGAGCTACAGACATAATTCAAAATGTAAATAAAATAGTGATCGAACTGTCGTTGACTATTCGAATCGGTAAAATTAATTTTAATTAAAAGTGAATACATCCTTGGGTAACTTTTATTTCATAGGTCTTTGGTGTAAGTACTCAAATGTCAATTTTCATCCTAATGTTACGTGCACAGATATAATAACATAAATAACGAATAACCTATCAAGACTTCAACAATTAATTTATTAGGTATAATTATTCAAATAAAATTTTATTCAAATAAGGTTTGATGCTGATTCGAAGTCATTATACATAGTTTCATCGTGCACACCCGATATTGTCTACACACGTGTGTACAATACATTTCGTAAATAACATTATCTTGTCGATTGATCATCACGTACAACAAATTATGAATAATTAATAACAGAATAGGGTACCTCGCATGGATTATGATTCACTAATGTAACGAACAACTCAAATGCCAAACAAACAACGATCGATAAATAATTCCTTATCTTCATTCAAGTAAAATATCACCCAAATAACGCTAGATGATGATATAAACTCATTAAAGTCCTCTAAATATCCGTTGTTTATTCCATTTGGCTCTCTGCGATCTTCTCCCCCTATCGTATTTGGTGTTCGCGCGAAATATGAACGAGGCTTTTCATTTCCGCGTCAGTGCTCTGCGCCAGTAACGCTCTAGCAAATTGTAATTTATTTATTCCGTCGTCTGCCGGTCGGAGCGCGAGCGTGATCGTTTAACTACAAATATCGGAGGAGCACGAGTCATTTCGCTCGACAAAGCTGCCAACAGGGGCTGAAACGAGCCGGGAAAAACTACTATGGAGAGCAAAACAATGAACGATGAGAAACAGGGAGTCGGAAACTTCCCAAGTGCGCGAGAAAGCACGGAAAGGTGGTGGAAAAAGGCTGGACGAGGCGAAGAAGTGGAAAGCGCACTGCCATGTTTCGCGTTGCGGAGAAGTACTTTATTATTGCAATGGCAACCCCAGCGAAATTGTAATTACAGTTTTAATGAGATTTTCTTAAAGCCATCGAACCCCTCCCTTCGAACAACCCTCACCGACGCGAAGCGTGACCATAATCTGAACCTAGAACTGAAGGGGGAATGTTCAGTTGAGTGAAAGGCAGGTTTAATCGAAGATTAAAGGTGTCGATGGAATGCTCCTTTGCATGATTAATTAGCAAAGGAATCTCGTGTTTCGTGTCAACACTAGACCGCCTCTGAGGTATTAGCTTGATGATCATTTGCAGTGCGTTGCAACGCAACAGTTGATTCATAAAGCTGATGGATCAGGCCTAGAGGTAGTATTAGCAAGAGGGCTACTAATTAACTGACATTTTCGTCGAATATAGTGTTTCGAGACATCCAGTTTGTGATATGCCATTCATCAAACGTTTCTTTGTACATACCTCCATCCTCCGTATTTAGATTTTTGGTATTTTAATTCTAATAGAAAATTCTGTATTGCATTCTTAAGATGTAACTTTGTTTGTAAAATGTGACTTTGTTTAATTATTTTGTATATTCATCATATAATACCACTTTGCAATTTGATATTTTGTTAAAATAGTACAATAGTCCAGAAAATATTTTGATTTATATGAAGTACAACTGTACATTTTAAGATTTCAGATAAAAATTTTTTATTGAAATTGCATGTGGTTGTTTGTTCAGTAGTTCATAACAAAATGACAGTCTTTCAGTGCATACCCTTGTTTTTAATTCGTATTTAATATTCGTATAACATAAAATATTACAGTATAATACAGCATACTACAGAATCGATAGTCGATCATCTGACTGTTTTGCTCGACTATGTATAGTGTCAGAAGGCTGAGTTGCATCGTTGAAATGATTAGAGATATCGGAAAACGTTCAAGCAAAATTGAATTATCCTTAATGCTCTACCTTCCTACATTATCATTCTTTACTTACATGTATACATGTAACATATTTGCAGAATACAGTTACAGTTTTCTTTTTTAAAAGAAAACTCAGGTTTTTTAACAAAATTTCTGAACGAATATTTTCTAAATGATTTGTGCTAAGTGAAGAGTGCCCCCTAAATACAAACCATTACAAACATTGTGCTTCAAATAATTGAAGAAAAATGTTATGTTATGAAATGTCAATTATTATGTCAATTATGTTACTTTTATTAATCGTTTCTCGATACTTTAGGCTCACATTTCTAAGGCAATAAATCCCCAAGAAAATCAAAAGTGAATTTCTTGCACCTTTTACACCAAAATATCTCCTAATGCAGTAATGTCCGCAGTAGAGAAGACTGTACTATAATCGGGATTGAAACTAGAACGATGTTCACGTACTAATAGCGAGGCTTTCAAAAGCTTGTCGGCTTTATAACGCATTTGCATTTAAACGGCTTTGGGATGTCGTGTTAGAACAGGAAATGATAATGATAGGCCTTACTTCTCAACCTTTTTTGGAAGTAGCTTCTCGGCACAGAAGACGTTTCCCATTACTGTACTTCCACGTGTTCTGGCATATCGGACCAACACTGGCAAAGTCACTCGACGTACATCGCTAAGAATGAGACAAGAATTTTATTTGAAACTGGAACGGGGACCAGTCTTTCTTAAGTCCAAGTTTCTTTGTTCATGAATGAAAGGTAAAAATTAATATTCATAATATCACTAACATCTAATGTATTTACACGATAGAAATCAAAGAAAAAGAAGGAATTTCAATTTGTTTTTAATGAAGAATTCATTTACAACCAAGTTGTGGAAATCATGAATAGAATTTTTGTTTAAATTGAAAAGAAAAACGTTCTCTATTTGCAAGTCTCTTTCAAGCAAAATACAATGATAAAAAGAATTCATAGAAGAATGAAAATTAATTACATTAGAATGATAAAGGTAATCAAAAAGTTAAACGAACTACTTACAAATATAATACTTTTCCAGCAATTGGAAAACGTATATTTTTATGGCCTCTTTAGTAATTGTGGTTTTCAATTCATTTGCATTTTCTGCTCGTGGCTCCCAAGGAATACAGCATGGGCCACTGAAGGAGGAAATGGCGCCCGTAGAGAATCCCTGCTGTAGAGAATATAAAACTACAGTATAAAAAAATATAAGGCTACAAAATTAATGTATCGTGCAGGTCACGTACAAATGCAGGCTTCGTAGACTGCTGGTAACGTACAAAATAAAACGACATAGCGCTCTATAATAAAAAAATATCACCCCATTCTTTGAAACTTCCTCGACAAAATCTGTATCTGTAGAAAAATGGTGAAACACCCAGCACATTGAAAAAAATCGAACATGGAAAATTTAATCTTTTGAAATGACGTCCAGGAGTGCTTACTTGTGGATGTTACTTTTTCGAAGATATTATTCATACTCATTATTCATGACATTTTGGATATTTCAGCATCGATAACGATGGATTGTTTCATTCGCTTTAAAGTTCATTCGTGTGCAAGTTTGACTGCAAATATACACGGTGATTCTAAAAACTTGGACCTGCTTTATATTTTTGCTAAGAGAATGTATGAAAGATTGATTTATATTTAATCATAATAATGAATTATCAAATTTAAATACAAAATAATTACACTACTTCTAAAAAAAAAATATACAAAAAATTAATTTATACTTATATTTATAATAATGATTTCTAAAATGGAAAATAATTAATCGGTTGCAGCTGCTTCATCCTCTAGGAAATAAAAAATCGGGTAATACAATGTTTAAACGTTCGTAATAAAACATTGGAATACTTCCTGGAATAAACTTCCTAACATAAAATATAAAGTAGCTCAGAAAGAACTACGTTTTTATTCATGACAAATTTGTATATCCGGAATTATAAAAACGAGGGATTTACGCAAAAAATTAATGGTTCTATTAGAAACATCGATGTCATTTTATGTTCAAATTTTAAACATAAAATAAAATTTCAGACATTTTTTTGGTTTTACTAATACATACTTTTAATAAAGAATCGTTATAAATAGCTTATAGAAAAAGATGAAGCTGGAAACAGAAAGAGAGCAGCTTCGAATATGCACATGTATGTATG